TAGAGCAATGTCCACGAGCTCTGTTAAGATATTTCGATCGCTGTGTGCCATCACACGTGCGGACGATGCAGATTCCGATTGTACAAAACAGCAATTCATTCAGCTGCTAAACTTCCTCGAACAAGATTGACAGTTTTGCAGTTTTGACTTTTGTGTTTTGTGAACATCTTTTTCCTGACTATCACAAATTTATTCGCGTATTTTGCTTTGACGTTTCTCGTCGTTTCGGCTCTTCGTCTCTTCTGCTTCGCTGTCTTCATCTCTGTCGTTTCACCTGCGCGGTCGCACGAAAAAGCTCCGCTTCAGTCGGCTCCGCTCTACATTCAACGTCCAGTTTTTGTCGCTTGATTTATTGAATGTTTGCCAGTTTAATTGTACTTGTTTCGGGTTAATTTGATTCTCAGGTATTCTGAATTCGGCGTGACATACCGTACGCCCCGGTCAGAAGGCCGTTCCTCAAGGAGCGGGCCTCGGCGACCTTTCCATGTACTTTTGGTTAGGGTGGTGGATGATTTTCCTGTGCTGTCTGTTCGTTAATGCCGCTATGCTGCGTTTGTGATTGTTGTTGTTTGACCGAAGCTTTGAATTCTGACGACCGTGTTCGTTTAGGATGGAACGCGAAACGTTGAGGCTCCAAGCGGAGAAGGCGCGCCATTCCAATGCCAGAAAACCGGTGGTAAATTCTTCGTCGGTCAGTCGTCGCTGCGCCAAGCCGATTTTCGGGCCGCCGATTAAAGTAAATTAAATGTAGCATGGTGTCCCCCCACCAACCTAGTGCCATGTTCTCGCTGTCTGTGACGTATGATGTGCTTGTTTGTACTCGCCGAACATTCGGCGTGCTGGAAACTGATGTGGCGTTATTTCTGTGCCTGGCGAGTTGAACAAGGGAGTGGTGTTGATCTTCGCGCACTATCTGGCATCAGAGAAGAGTACGCCGTTCGACCAGTTCCTCGGCTCGGTGTTGCTGTGAAGTTCATGGATGAGTTAACGGGCCGCATACGCTCTTGTGTCGCTGAGCACTCGACACCGCCCGCCACTGGCCACTGACGCTACCTTTTTCTTTTAACGCCTGTTCCACGACCAGCCTCGGTTACCACAAGCGTTCTTCGCAGACAACAGGCCGAGCGCTTTTTCAGGTGCGCATGAGGATCAGTCGCCAATGAAGTGATCAATAGTGCCTACGTGCTACTTCATTTTCTGATTTTTGCGTCATTTCTGTTAGACAGCGCCACCAAGATGAGTCACAATGGAATCAGCAACGACAGCAGCAGCAGCAACAGCAACAACAACAATTGACTCATCCTAGTTCGTAAATTAACGAAAATGACCATTGCCTAGTCCTCATTCCCACCTTCGTCCGTGTTACGTGATTTTGTCTCCTCAAGCTTTCATATTTTTCTTTTGGCTTATGGTCCCATCTGAGCTGGGCTGTTCCAACTAGTGGATGCTTGCGGCCCTTAGGGTATGATTCCGTCACAGCCGAACTCGATCGGTCATCCGTCAGTCTTGTGACGTTTATGCCAGTCTTGTCATTTCTTCATTTTACAGCTTGCCCGTGACGGAAGTTCCTAACATTGTTCGTCTTTCCACCGTCCTCTGCTATACTCTGTACGTTATTCGTTCTTTCGCAGTGATGCTCACGTCTGGCAATCATATCGACCTGCCTGTTGACGGTACCATGCATTTATACGAGGTGTTTCTAACCACGACTGCGCGGTCAGTGTTAATTGTTCTGTAACTGTTCCGCGCCGCACGACGCCTTCTAGAGAGCTCTGGACCAACGCAGTGGTCTAACACGATTAGTTGTCCCAAGCAGACGTACCGGGTGACTTTTTCTACTGGCCACTCATTGATAGTTACTGTAGCTGGTGGTACGAATTCATTTCTGGTCGTTTTCGACCTCGCCTTGTTTAAGGTCCACTTACGAGGCTTCAGTTTCCGTTGCCTTTGTTGCAACGCCAATGGCATCTTGTCGTCGGCCAATCGAAGATCAGTGATTTGCCTACCGTTGATCGAAAATCCTCTGTTTCGTTTCATTTTTCGGATCTGTGACTTAACGCATGCTGTAAACAGCAGCTTGGGCGATACACACTCCATTAGACTCCCGTTTAAAGTCTGTTCGTCTGTTCGTTGCTCTCCAACTCATGGAAGATTGCTTCCTGCTTCATTATGTCGAACATAGTTCGATGATCGACGAAGTTCATGTAGGCGGGCTGTCCCTGTACTCACTTATTAAACTTTTCGAGCAGCTCGTTCGTCACTTGCCGATGGTGTAGGTGACTCGATGCGTACGGGTGGGTCGAATTTAGAAAAATCTCCACCGAACCTAGCTTGCTCGATTGGCCGTTGAAAGATGAAAGTTTCGCTTTGCAGAAAGCATGATTTTTCCGCATGGTCAAGATTGGATAAATAAACAAATGGCATAAAACAGATGTCACAGAGCAGATTGTAAATTGCTGAATCGAAAATAAATAAATACAACTCTAGGGTACATTAAACATATCTGAGTGATGCTGACTGACATCCTCCGAGTATCTGAGACTTCGCGCTGAAGCTAACGCAGTGGGTCTTGGTTTTCTAAGTTTGTAAAATTTCGACTGCGCGTTCAGTTTCTCGTTATGAATGGCATATAGGCGTGGAACAACAGGATCAACCGTTCTGAAATGCAGACTAATTAGAGAAGGAAATCTTTCAAGGTTGTTTAAAAGTCGCTTCCAAAGACACTAATTTCGATTGATGCTCAGAACGGTATCACCAGACGGGAAACACCGATAATGAAATTTAAAACTGAAAATGTGTATCAGCGGTTTATTTATTCATAACGCGTATGAATAAGTTAGTCAGTCGGCTGATCTGTCTATCTCACGAACCTCCTTCAGGATCGTCTAGGTTGGTTTCCGCAGTTGGTTATGTGGTTCGCAGCTGCTGTTGCCTCTGAAACCGAAGGTGTGATTTTGGTCCATGCTGCCGGTTGTGCAGTTTTTCTTTCACGGACCTCGAAACGCTTGTCTAATCCGGGCGCCGTAAATAAGCCTTTTTTTCAGTTTTCGGTATGAACACCAGTGTACGAAGAAGTTACTCAATCTTCGGATAAAAGCGAAATTTTCATGTGAAATAACAGTGATGTGGTTGGTACAAATGGTCTTTCCTTCAGAGACATGACGACATCATTATGTTGTTGGATTTTTGCCGTGTTGGTCACTTAAATAACGCAGAATATGTCATTCTTTCTCTGATACCTAACTTTCCTCACTTGCTTCTCACTTACTTTAGACGGTGAAACAGTTGAATTATGAAATTAGTTGGGTAATGATATGCGCAGCGGTCCTCACTCGCCGAATCCATCCAGATTTCTGTCGAAGCAATTTCTTTTCGTGATTGTTTGTTTCTGATGCGCAGCCAACTCAGCCAGCGTCTTGAATGCCGTTCTCTAGTCAACCGATTCTTTCAGGGTTCATGACAGATGAACGCGACTAAGCAAAACATACGCTGCACCGATTGATTATTTTAGTCATTTAACATTCTACGCACAGAGAAAACCAACAATCCCTTTCCAGTCCATGGAAAAGCACAGTTATCACCGTGTATGCTTTTTCGTCAGTGGTGGGGGGGGGGCGATGGAGGGGGCGTTAGTTATCATTTTGCTCCACAAAAGATTTGTGAATTATGAGATCAGTTAGCGTATTAGAGTTTTTTGTTAGTACGGCGGTGGTCATGTCAAAAATACATCTCCGACGTGTTATGTCGCCGTAGTTTTTCGAACTACCTCCTCGAATACATTGAAAAAGTCAGGTGAAATAGCGGCCGGCATGTTCTATAGGCTTTCACCCGATTGATCACTCGCCGCATTGCGTTTTGTGGTCTTGTGTCCAGAGGTTTTGTGTTGTTTTTGATTATGTACGAGGGTATTTTAAATATTTGACGACTTTCATGGTAGTTAATGGTAACGAAACAAAAATGCGGTTTTTTCGGTCGTTAGACGATTCACTTTGAAAAGGATACGTTGAAAAAAATAAGGCTAAAGGTTCAGATTGCTTATTATGTCATTAGACAGTTGAAACTTTACAAATACGAGGCTCAAGTCACATAGAAAACCGCAAATCGGTTATATTCAATAAGATACTTCCGCCGATATCACTTAGCTCCAGCAAAGCAAACAGGAACTCAGTTCAATTTCACTAACTTATTGTTTGTCATAATGCATACAACATTCGCGTAAGCAATATGTGCGTTATTGCAGAGACTCTCCCGTTAATTTTCTCCTCTACTGTGTTCCTCATTGTTGTTTAGGTAATGGGCGATTAATACTAAACAGAGGTATATTTTTGGTTCCAGTGCAGATGTATATTAGCTGATTCCTGGTTTGATTCGATTTCCGGATGTCTCACGAACCTGCAAAGTAGAAGCAGGTTGTCGATTGGTTTTTATATTCTCTTTGATCCAAGTAAAAGATGCTCTTTTTAAAATAATCTCTCCTGGTATCTTAGCACTGATTTCGAATCAACGCTTACAACTCTTCGTTATTTGCTTGTTTCAGTAGTTTAGTTCAGTTTTACAAAGTGCGCGACCACTGTTTATCCGGAGCAAGATCTTCAACGATTTCAAACATTATAAAGGTCTTAATCCGACTTGTGTTCTTTTTTGGCTCGCTG